TCCAACCCAGTGATTCTATGATCTTGTGTTATGGGCGGTTTAGCATGGTCTGGGACTGAGCCGATGCAGGTTTCTGCCCACATGCTTCAGTGTGGCAGCTTCACACTTTGCAAAGACCCCAAGGAGAGTTTGTGACAGGCAGGGTCTCATTCTTCAGAAGGATTTTGTTGTTATGCTCTGGCTTAGCACCCACAGGCAGGGAGCTGATGACAACCCTACTTCTTGTCCACTCCAGCCTGACAGCAGGCAGGTAGCTCTCCTTCAAACAGTCCCATTTTTCAGTCCAGCACTCGCAGGGGGGGCAATGGGGGTCATCTTTTTTACTACACCCACTGCCAGACGAGCTCAATGTCTTCTTACCTAATTCTCTCCCCAGCTGGACGTGTCTTGCCATAAGAGGACAAGAACTGTGCCCAGCTCTGTCAGCTAATCCCCTCCCCATGGAAGGATCTGGGTAAGTGATCACATGATGACCTGCCTGGGATGCTGTAATTAATTCTGGCTGAGTCATTCTACAGTTCGTACATCTCTCGGAGGTGTGTATGTGATGGTGTGTAGCACACCTGTGCTGCAACTTCTGTCTGGACTTCATGTTTTTCAAACAACCTCTGAAGACAACACAGTCTCTAATGTGATTTAGGACGTATTTCAGTTTGGGTCTACAGTATGAGATCTGAGAGGTATTTAAATGAGCAATTTCAAAGGTTTTCAGCAAATGCAATCTTTTTTTATTGTTAGAAATACTATTAAAATACAAGAGCAGAAACCAATACAAATGAATTGGAAAAATAATGCTAACTATAGGTATATATTTTGGGATTCGTTTTTATCAAATGCAGCGTTCACAATGAAGCCATAATCTTGCTCATGTACTGTGTCATCCAGTGCACCCCTGGCCTGTGTCAAAGAAGAATCCCTTGGTTCCGCAGCTGTATCCGTCTTCCTGTTCCTTCTGTACAATGGAAGAAAAAAAAAAAAAGAACAACCATTTTTAATTTCTGTTCTTATCTACAGTGAGAGGTCAAACAACGGTGTGGGCATGAATGAAGTCAGATTTTGGAGAAGCCCAAGTTTTGTGATAGTGATGTATCGTCCCTGTGTAGAAGAAACGGGCTATGTTAATTTCTGTAGAAAAAGCTAAGTTATCCCTCACATTCCTCAAATAAGACCCTGAATGCTGTGGTTCCTTTCTGGCCCTGCAGGTATGTGGCTAATGAGGGTTTTCAGGTTTACAGGTACTAAAAAGGGTGTAGCCAAGCTAGGAAAAGCCTTACCTGTACAGGTACACTGCAGAGGAGACAAGAATGGCGATAGCAGCTACACCTGCCACAACTCCAACAGTGATGGCAACTGTGTGGTCCTCAGGATTCTCTGTAACGACCGGGTCTTCAACTGAAGAAGAAATAAGAGCTCTGTCAGTGAAAGCTGGCTATACTGTGAACAGATTTTTTTTTTTCTCCCTTGCCTGTCTGCTTGCTTTCTGATGAATGGAGCTTACTGGAGTGGTGTCAGACCCAGGTCCTGTATGCTCTACAGAGCCTTCCAGCACCTCTCCACTGCGGGACCTGACCCCTTCTTTCTGCTTGGATGGCCACAGGCTCTCACCCACTGCGTTACTAATTTACATCACGGGAAAGAAAAGCAAGCCCAATGTTCTCCATAATGACACCCATTTTTGAAAGTGGTGTGTGTAAGGCAGACAGTGAAATCCAAGACTGTTTTATTACCTATTTTTTCAACCTCGCAGCTTGGTCCTGTGTACAGTTCTGAACATTCGCAGTTAAAGCGGAGGGAGGTGCTGGTGGTATTTTCAGAGCAAACGCCATCATTTTTACAGGGATTTGGCATACATGGTCCACCTAGCAAAAAGGAGGGAGAAACACTTTAGACTCTCAGATAATCCAGCCCTGAGAAAACTGTTCTTGCTTAGATCACACTGACTCCTAATGTTGGACGTCCAGCATTATATATTTTAAGGCATTATATATATTTTAAGGCACATTACTTTATACTCGACAACAGGAATAAGGGAAACAAATGCTGTTTCTATGATGAAACGTCAGAGCAAGATCCCTGATATGCTTTTCTTTTGCACACACTCTGTTGCAATTATCCCCAACCCAGTGATGTCCTATAAGCAGTAAGTCAAGACTTCATAGCATGGAAGACAATGTGATAGTGGTTGACTCACTCCTGTAGCATCCACGACTGTAGTTTGAAATGCCACAGATTTCATCGGATCCACACACTATGTTAGAGCAGGAGACAGTGGAGCTTTCTGTGCACTGACATCTCTGAGAGCAGTCATCAGTGGTGAATATTTCCCCAATCTGGAAGACAACAGTTCAATGTTAAAAAATATAATATATATATATTTTTTAGGAGTTTGTACAAAAAGAAACCAAGCAGCTTACTAATCCAACTCTTTGAAATTCAAGGCTGTCCTAAGAAAGAAGGCAAAAGAAGAGTTAGGGCTATGAGATCCTGGTCCCAGGTGGGGTACATGTGCAGTCAACAACATCTAAACTGCTGGAGATAAGGGAGAAAGGCAGATGCATCACATAATGCCTCAAGGAAATGTGGAAATGCTATGTGCCATTTTTCTGGTAAGTGCCACCTGTTCATAGTGTTTCCCTCCTCCCATAAAACAATCTTTACTGGCTTAGACCTTTTCTGTATCAAATCTGACTAGTGTTAAAACAGAAATCTATTGGATTATAAAGCTGTTCTATCCGGCAGTGACAATTCTCTATTCCTCAGAATCCAGCCTTTCTTGGGTCTCTCTTCGTGTCATAGCCAACCCTACAAACTTTCAACCCTGTCTTAACACGGTCTATAGCACTCTTCCCTGAGAGGAGAGGCACCACCGTGACTGACAGAATTTCTCTGTAACTGGTGTGTTGTAAACTTTAGAGCCTATGAGGCTATTACTTAGCATAATAGAGGTGAGGAATTAACGTGGAAGTCCGAGTGTAATCATATACTTTCTCCAAGTGCCGGCCTTGACTACTCTGGCAAACAGTTTCAGAGGCAGACCAAGTGATCTACTCTCTCTTCCCTTCCTCCAGAGACCAGAAATTTATTACACAATTGCTCTTTGTTTCTAATGCAAAATTAAATGCTGAGGGGAATGAAGAGATTGCCAAAATAATTAGTAGAAGAAAATATTGTTGGGTGTTGTGGGAGCTGTCTGACCCACGGAGAGACTGTACCTCGTAGTATTTGTTAAGGTACGTGCAGCCACACAGTCTGTAAGGCACGCAGTCAAAACCGCTAAGAACATAGCCAGGGAGACATTGACAGCCTTCAACGCAAAGTGATTCGCACTCAGAGGGGCTGGTCAAGTCGTTGCAGGATGCTGGGCATGCAGACATGCATGAGCTGTAGTTGCTGTTGGCAGGACATGATATACCTGTGAAAATAAGGAGAGTCCGGTTACAGCAGGCTGCTGTGCATTATTTCCTTACACAATGCCCCTGGAGATCCAGAGGCCAGTACCATTTTTTAGGAGGCAATATGATGAACACACGTACGCAGAGATGTGCACGTGCATATGATAGTACAGAAGTTGTAAGTAAGGCACCCCAAAGACAGGAAATGCATCGCCAAAGCTACGTGTATGCTCTGCTCTCATCCCTGGTGTTCCCTGATCTCACCTAACTTCTCACACATTCAGGGCGGCCATCCCTGCAGTTATCAGAGCTGTTTCACAACTCTGGGAACTGTGCTTCACCAGGAATACAAAGTCGTCTAACTGTGTGTGACAGGAGAAGTATGGTTTCATGAATATCCCAACTAGAAAACCAAAAACTTAGAATAAAAGGGTTTGAGATTATTATAAGATTTATTTCAGCATTTTCTAGTCTGAATGACTTGGATTTTTCAGCCGAATCTTTTTTATCTTGAAATTTCATGGGCAAAAAAGAGCATTAATGTATTTTGTAAATTTAAAAAGAGATCTAAATGAAGTATTTTTCCTTCCGATTTGTGGCTTCTGATGGTCTCAAAAATTGTAACTTTTTTTCCCAGTTGAGAATGGGAACATCTTTTTTTCTCACAAAATATCTGACGACAGGGGACCTGACAGCTCTGCTTTCCTAAGTGGCTTTCTAAGCTGGTGTCTAAATGCAAATGTCAGCATGGGACACAGAGGAGAGGCCAGAAGAGCAAGTGTGCCTGGTAAATGGTGGACAGTGACTGAAGCTTGAATCAACCTGCTTCTATAAGCTGAGAAGCTGTGATATATATGCTGTGTCTAGTAAAAGCCTCAAATCTTGGATTCTGAGAATCCTTTAGGCAGAAACCATACTTTTCTAGTTCTTCCTGTGCTTACCACAAACTGTTTGTTGCCTCCAGCCTTCCATTTGGACGCCTTGCTGCTGACAAGCCAGCACGTATTCCTCCAGACTGCGACATAAGGTGGCATCCTCATCTCCTTCCACACACATATCAAACAGGCAGCTCCTATGTGCAACATGAGAAAGCGTTCATTCCCAATACGTTTGTTATTCTGCCTGACTCTGAGTTGGTTCTGTTTTCCTGTATCTGGCTGACAGGAAAATAGAGGAATAAAAAAAACCCCAAAACCCAGGCGCGTGATTGGGAAGATCAGGTCGTTTGTTGTGCAGCTGCTCCTAACATGTGATGTATTCATATGTGAACAAGCAACCAACAGGTACCTGACTGCTTGTTACAGGAAGTTGCTCTTTGCTACCCGCTTCTCTTTTGGGCTAGCATGGCTGCACCTTGCTTATAGAGCACTTTTTAGTGCTGCTAAGTGTTATAGCTGGACTACACACTTCCTTCAATATATGGGTGCCCTCCCCACGTCCACACGCCTTGAATATTGACACAGAATTCTGATTTGCCCAGCGTTTGCCAGTGCTACCTTCTCAGCTTTCCAGGGGCATTGAGATCTGAGATGAATGGGATCTGCAAGTATATAGCACCTCAGAAAAACCAGGCATCCACTAAGAAGGTAGAACAGGCTGCTCAACCAAATTCGAGAGTGAGGAGAAAAGTAGGCTTATGTTGAGAATCAGGATATATACATTGAAGCCAGTGGTCCAGTTTATTTGGTTTAAGATACCTTCACATTCTTCGCACAGCTAAGAGGGACTTTGAAGTGGGCATTATCTGTCTTTAAACATTAGGTACAACTATATGACTAAAGAAAACTGGCAGGTACTTGGCAGTTTTGTGACTGATGCTGGATGAATGATGAATGTGAGGATAAACCAACAGGTTTCATACAGCTCAAAATTAGGGATGTAGGAATTGTATATGTAGGAGGCCAGAGCAGCCTTGAAACACAGCAGAGGGAACTTAGTTGAAGATAGCGGGTTAGTTACTCTTCTCTAATCTGTTTTTTGCACTTCTCTATGAAAGATTCAAGAAGTGTTACTGACAGCTCCAGCCTTTGTGGGTATAGCATGAAGGCTGGGTTTTCCGAAGCTAGAATTGGTAAAAGGAAACTAATAGAGCCATGTACTAAAACCTTGCTGAATGTGGATGAGAACTGTAAGCACATTGGAAATCCTAGACTACAGGTATAATGCTGAACTCTGCTGCTTTTTCTGTCTAGGAAAAGGGGAAAGCTACTTTGTAGAGCTAGCAGTAAAGTGAAACTCTAAATAGATGGAAAGACATATCATCACAGTTATTTAAAAATAAATAAGGGGATTTAAATATATCAATAATGGAGTCATTGGGCCCAGTCCTCCAAGGACACTATCCTTGGTTCCTATTAATACCCTGGAGACCAAAGATGCATAGTTCTTGTCAGACACTAGCGCCAGAAACTATTTTGAAAATGGGGAGAACAAGTGTCTGCAGTAGCCACTTACGTGAAATAGAAATCTGGTGAGACCATAGAATGACACTTTACAAAAGGACCTTTCGAGTCAGTCAGGATTTGACATCTCGAAGTTTTGTTTTCTTGCCCCAGCTGATTTTCATTGCAGCCTTGGAAGAGCCCAGGATCTGGTTCCTCCTCAGGCTCAACTTTTGAGTTGATATCTCGTCTGTAAATGAAATCATTATGAAACCATCATTTCTTTGTATTCATGGCAGTACTCTCTAAGTAACACTACAAGAGTACTTCTGCCTTGTGGTGTAAGTGTAAGCTTATTTCTCTCATGATTTATCCTGAATGGGAAGGAGATAGATAAAGCAAATGAAAGATGTGCTAAGAGACTTCCTACCATCTCAGACATATATGGGTATTTAAATCAAAAGGGATATCTGCAATTATCTCTTTTGAAATTCTGCATGACACAGGCTTCATCCAATCTATTCAATACAACTTGAACGTTAGAATGATGCAGCTGGAATAGGCCACTATTCTTGGACATAGGGGCACTTTCACTGACTAACTGGCTGCATGCCTGAAGTGCAAGGATTCTCCTGTAGAATCCAGAGCCCCTTTACGCTGAGCACTAGCTTACATACTGCTTTCTACTATTTTGGCAGAGATTTTGCAGCCAAATTGTATCCTGACAGCTAATACAATTCCTAAAAACTGAACTGAACTGAAAAAGTTCTGAGTTAGTGGCTAAGCGACCTCCAAAGGTCTTTCAAAACAAAGAAGTAAGGAAGGGAGGAAGGAAGGGTTCTTTCCTTACCTGTTTCAATGTTCTGTATAGACTGATTAGGCACAGAATTTGCCTGTTAACAAATATCATACTCATTTATGCTCAAAAGAATGTCCTTACTTTTTGTCTACTGACAGAAAACACTAGATAGCCATGGAAGTAAGGAGATTAGGCACTTCAAGAACCCTCCTGGGCGGAATTGTGCATTCATCTTGATGGATTTCAAAGCTACCTTAATGTTCCAGAGAGAGGGATGACACTGAATCAGGATTTGCCCTCCCTCTGGCCCATCCAGCACAAAATGATATATTTATCTTTGCCAGGAACTGTGACCTTGGCAAAGATTTTACTCATCCCCGTGCCCTAGCGGTTGTAATGGCTGTGATGCCAAAGAGGGATACTGAACAGGAGTCATGCAGTGGTAGTTCAGGCCTCTTTTGGTTAGATAGGAGGGCACTGACCGTTCGCCTTAGTGATGAGCAGGAAAAGTCCCTACACACAGACCAAGGGAAGAAGAAAGACAGAAATAAGACAGTGTGATTATTCCTGGATATTATCTGTTGCTTAATTCACTTGCATCCAGTGGTGTGCTTGCCATGGATATTAAGTAGAAAATTAAGTACCTGAGACGGGAGGTTGTTCTTTTCAGAGGAACTTTCCAGCTCTCACCAAATACATTCACATTCTTCACCCAAACACCATCTGGATTTCTGAAGTCATTTCTATATCTCCCATCAAAGTCACCACACAAGCCTTCCACTCTGTTTCTGTAGGTGTTGGCCAGCTTTATATCTAGGGAAGTTCAAAAGGGAAAAAAAAAAAGCCATTGCAGAGATCTTTGTGAGTATATGGGAGAGGCAGAAATAGTGACAAATACCACATCTCATGATTCAGATCGGAGTTGGTAATGTGACATGGGCCTCATACATAGAATCATAGAATCATAGAATGGTTAGGGTTGGAAGGGACCTTAAAGATCATCTAGTTCCAACCCCCCTGCCATGGGCAGGGACACCTTCCACTAGACCAGGTTGCTCAGAGCCACATCCAGCCTGGCCTTGAAGACATCCAGGGATGGGGCATCCACAACATCTCTGGGCAACCTGTTCCAGTGCCTCACCACCCTCTCTGTGAAGAATTTCTTCCTGACATCTAATCTAATCCTCCCTGATTTCAATTTATACCCATTACCCCTTGTCCTGTCACTACAGGCTCTTGTAAAAAGTCCTCTCCCAGTACCCTTGTAGGCCCCCTTCAGATACTGGAAAGCTGCCATGAGGTCTCCTCGGAGCCTCCTCTTCTCCAGGCTGAACAAGCCCAGTTCTCGCAGCCTTTCGTCATAGGAGAGATGCTCCAGCACAGCCTTGAACATACATGTTCATGCATGTATTCACAAGACAGTTTCTGTGCTCTGCAACATGGACCATGAAAAAAGTAATTTCTCATAGCCAATAAGGTATTGTGTAACATCACCACCTGAGTGCTCTTAGTGTGTATATTACTCACTGCTTTGCAACAAACTGAATGCACTACCCACTTCTTGCCCTTCACTTCCAATCCACTTGCTGGCTGAGAAACAGAATTCCTATGGAAACTTTCTGCAGTTGGAATTTCAGGGTTTGGGATGGTGGTCATGTATAAATGGCCTGGCACTTTCACCATACGCTCAGAAGTAACTTGGCTATATTGTGTTGTAAATCAGCAGTAACTCTGGAAGTAACGTGTGTTCAACTTACACAAGTGAGTTGTGTATATGTGATATTATAGTCCGGCTGAGAAACACTAAAGAACGGGATTATCAGGAATAGGCTTGACAGGAAGCATGTGAAAGGATGCACTCACAGCTGTATGGCTTGAGGACCTCAGTCCTAAGACTGGGTTTAACTGGCAAAGGGGCAGATTCAGACTTCACCCCATCATCCTGATCAGCAATTTTTAGTGATTTGATTTTGTTTTTATCACTCAGCCCTTACTTAAAAAAAAACCCCAAACCCCCCACAAAAAACCAGCTGTAACAGTCTGACTCTACATGTTATTTCTCCTAAGTCCAAGTGGACCCACATAAAGAAATGCCAGTTTTATGGGGTTTTTTCTGGTTCATGGGAAACACTTTTTTTGTTTGTTTGTTTTGGGGTTTTTTTGGTTTTTGGTTTTATTTTTTTTAGTTTTCTGGTAGTTCATATCACAAAGGACCTGAAAGGATGGAGGTTTCTAATTTTGCCTTGGCTTTAGATCTCCTTTGGAATGAAAACATTTTTTGAGACAGTGCATAAATATTCCTGCACATTGTCTTAATGTCACTTACCTGCATTTTGATTGCTGTCAAAGCTCAGGTATAAGCCAAAATCTGTCTCCAGGTAAATTCTTGATGTCCTCTGATATATACGAATACCTTCATGAGGACGAGCTGGGAGTCTCACCCTCACACCATCCAGCTAACAAGGAAAGAATAAGTTAAAATTTATAATATGTAGGCCAAATTCAAATCTGTCTTCAGTGCAGGTCAGTCCTACAAATGAACACTTCTCTTGTCTGGCTTTATGATAAATATATCCGATAACTTTACCAGGTAAAAATCTCAGTATTCAATTTTTTAAAGTTAACAAAATCATGTGTTGAGGAAAGTCATCTGGACACAGTATTTTCATATCATCCTAAAAGCTTTCTATTACTGAGCTAAGATGTATATATAAGCTATGTATACTCTTATGCATCAATAAAGGGGAAGGAAATTAAGTTTTCCTAGCATAATTCACACTTTTCTTTTCCCTACCACTAATAAAAAATTGTATGGCTTTATTATCAGTCTTGGGATATCTAGTGTTTCATTCCTAAATCTCTATTTACTCATTTATTTGAAGTAGAATGATAGCTTTCATAGCTATTGAGAAAAAAGACTCAACACAACTGAAAACCACATTTCTGGTTGCCCCATAGCACTGCTGTAAGAATACAGTTAGCTTTAAAACTTAAATTCTTCAAAACAGACATTTATTACTCAAAGGTGTTTTACTCCAGGGGAGGGCCCTTCTCTGTGCTCTGTAGTCAGCGAGAGACTTACCACAAGCTGCTTGTTCTGCCTGAATCGCACCGTGTGGTTGTAAACATTAACGAGAATCTCCTTCAGGTACGTAATGTGTTGACCTCCATGAAACGGGTAGTTCATGCCTTCGATACTGAACTGCGTCAGAGTATCGGGTAGGTCAGGCTTGGTCTGAGCCAGAATATATGTGTATTTCCCTTGAAAGTGGTGCACCAGACCGTCGAAGGTGATGTAGTGTGGGTCACCCATGATCTGGCATTTTGCAAAACCTGAGGGGGAAGAGCTTCATCAGTCTCCAGTCTGAATGTGCATGTACCAGAGCCCATGCAGGGGTCAGTTTAAAATAAGTTAGATAAAAAAGATTGCTGCTAGCATGCAGGTCTCTTAAAGTAAAGATGGGTGCTCAAGCATCACCATAGTGAATGCGCAGTCATTGAGAGACAGCCATAAATCGTTCCTCTGCTGAGTACTAATGCGAGCCAACTGATCTGAAGCAGATCGTTAGGGTGTATAAGCTTTATAGAGACTAAGTTGTGCACATTGGTCCACTGCAGAGGGATGACTGCCACACAGCATGGCTTGCAGAGGGCCCTTAGAGATGTTGGTTTCATAATCCCCAGCAATGTATTGCTACAAAATTATTGGGACATGAAGAATAATGTCTTAATTTTGGCTGGCTTGCTGTTGTTACACTCTTCTGAGGTTACTAATTGATCACCAGACCTAATGATCAGATGCAGCGATTATTGTCTAAGTATTCTCCTTGACCACTGAGCGCAGAGCAAACCATTAGCCCAGGAGCAAGGCTGTCCTTAGGGCTGCTGGCGTGCCTCTGCTGTGGTATTAGGCCAAAATGGAGCAGGGGTAAGCTGGGTTTGCATCATGCTCTTGTACTGATCATCAATACAGTAGAGCCTGTGACATAATATTCTTCAAGGTTGAAGTGTAGAGTCACTAGGCAACAAGGTATCTCCTAAACAACCCAACTATTGTTGCATTGATTCTGTTTTGGCAACTATTGAAGAAAAAGCACCAAAGTTCTCTGACTGGCCTATTACATATCTGTTCAGATCAGCTCTGTCCTATTTTGCCTTTATTTTTTTCTATTGTCCAAGCATGCAATGGAAAAAACAGGATCATTGTCAAAGGATTCAGACATCAGAGTTTTGGTTTTGGTAGATGCAGTGCAAATTCTTTGCTTTGCTTTGCTTTGCTTTGCTTTTTCTAGTCAGACTGAACTGTCAGATTTCTACACATAAGTAAATTTTAAACTCTTATTCGACTTCCCCCTACAAGTTCTCTGTCTTTTACTGGAACTTTCTATTCTGAAAACTGAGGTCTTTTTGTGTTCAACAATGTGTCATCAATAGCAGTGTCAGAGCTGCCTTCTTTCCCTGTGGAAGAGTCTAGAAGTGCTGTCTAAGAAAGAATAGACACCCACATCCACCCTCTTTCTCCAGCCCTCATGGAACACCAGGTGAAAAACTGCCTGCACATACCTGTTGGATTGCACTTGTGTTTTCCATTTTTGATCACGCAGGTTTCTTCAGAATCACAGCTATAGCTCTTACATGTGATGACACCATTGTTCTGACACTGGCATCTTTTGGTGCAGTGTGGAGTTAGCCATGTGTCCCCAGCCTGGACACAAGTTGTGTTAATAATATGTTATCAGGGTGCTCAGCTTTGCAATGCAATAAAAGTTCAATAGCAAAGGGTGTGGGGTCTGGCTAGGCGCAACCTGTCCAGCTGGTGATTCCACAACTGCTCAATCCAGTTGTAGTCTCACAAAGAGCCTGGGAGGGGGAATCCTGGTCCATTTATCTTATTGTCTTCGACATGAGAATTTGAACCCAAAACAGGACTAGTACAGACTGCCTGAATAACTCTGATCAACTGACTAGTTTGAGTATACCTCAATTTTGGCTTCAGGTGTGAAGTACCAAGCTTGTGCATCTCCTAATACCTGACCCTGCAGTTTTTACTAATCAGATTAAAGTTATTTAAGAGGTAGATTGTAAAGATTTCCCTCTCTCTCATTCAGATGGACAGGAGACCAACTTTCTACAAGTTTTGCAGCCAGGGATTTACTCCACAGACAAAGTACTTACACTGTAGTAATTGTTGTCATCATCCCTGCAGCCACAATTGCTCAGAGGTACACACTTGCCATTACTGAGCACATAATTATCATCACACTCACAGCCCTCTGCACAATCTTCTGTCTTCTCACAAAGGGAAGAGGCAAAAATGTCATTGCATGTTGATGGGCAGGTGGAGACACAGTCCTTGTAATGGCTGTGTGTTGGACAGGGCAATGCTGTGTGGGTGAAGAGAATAGAACCAGCATTATTAAATACATTTAGAAAGTACACTGCAAACACATGCGTCTGTCTGAAAGCTACAACTTGGCCTATAAAATGGTAGTATAGAATTGCCTTTTAATACCTGATTTTGATCATCAACCAGTTTTGATTTATTATACTTTATTTAAAAAAAAGCAATAATCCCCAGACTCTGGAGCTCCTGATTCTGTTCTATTACAGGTATGCCTGGACTGGTGGCACAAGGTGTTAGATCATTCAGATCCAGTATTTCAGTTCAGCTGCAAATGCCTCTTAGGGCACTGCTAGAAATGGAAATCTTTAGGGCAAATTCCTTAGAATATTCAACCCTCCAGTGATGCAAAACAGGTGTATATCTAGGCTTAACCACAGGCATAAACACATGCAAGAACAATAGATACGCATTGTCGAACTGAAGATAATTCTAGCTCTATACCCTATTTCTGGCAATGACTACAGATGCATAAGGGGACACTTCAGGAAACAGGGTAGCAGGACAAAGGGCTTATTTGTCCAATATTTTCCTCCATTCTTGGCAAGGAGGCAACTATGAATTTCTGAGGGACCTATTCAATATTCATCTGGCTTGGTTTTTTAACCGATTAATTGTTTTGTCTTCCACAATATTGTGTGATAATTAATTCCACAATGTAGTACTAAATTGTGGAAAAAAAACCCCCAAACAACCAAGAAAAAGAAACCCACTGTGTAATCTTTGCTTATTTTTGCATAATTTGTAGCTTTGTTGAATGGGTGGAGTAAGGCACATACACTGGAAATTAATATGAAAATGTGGTCATTAAGAAGCAACTGGCCAAGTTGCCAGTTTTCATTCAAAACCCAGTGAGTGGTATTGACCCACGTGTCCTAACACAGTATCCTACTTTGTTTTAGTGCTCTGGTTATGTTATTTCTCCATTTTAGGCTTACTGCAATATCTCATGGCACCTGTTTGGCTACTGCTATCCACACTGCTATCCATAACTTGCCTAGTCCTCAGTTATCACTAGGTTTAGCTCAACCTGAACACAGTTCAGTGCAACAATGGAGTCATAAAATCCTGATAGTAGAACTGCATTTTGTGACAATTTGGGTTTAATTTTCTTTTACATAACTTGCATGCCTAATTCTGCTGATTTGTTTTCATGCTATCAGCCATCCAAGTTTCAGTGTTTTCACTTGCTTGTGCACTTACGGCAGAAAGTGCTATTCCTCCATTTAATGGTGATTCCATAATTCCTGCAGGTGTCCACATAAACTTGAACGATGTCACAAAGAGTAGACTTCATGCCATTGTACTGGCACATGTCATAGATGCAAATCTGTATGAAGTCTTCAGGCTTGACTAGATTATGACATGCTTTGAATTTGTCTGATTTTAGGACATTGCACTGGCTTTCAATAGCTGGTTTATTCTCAGCAGTGCAAGAAGGAACATCATCTTCTCTTGAGTCTGATAAACAACTGCATGAAAGCACAGACACAGCTGCATTTAAGTTTCAAAGGCATATATAAAATGGAGACTGAAAAATTTGTTTCTACTGAAAGGTATTATACAAATAATGCTAGTGAGTACAGGCTTCTTTCTGTCTGTGAGTGAAAGATTAGGCAGAAATAGATCTGCATGGCAATCACCATGTCGTGTCTGACCCTCATCACTCTCTCAGAACTTGACCCTGACTAGAGGATTGACTTCTCCGCTTGACCTCGGACCTGTGTGGTGATCTGGACTCCTGGCTGACCCTGGCTTTCACCCTTGGGCCTGCCCTGCTTGCCTTGCTTGGATAGTGTGGGATGGTGGCTGGTGAGGCCACTGTTCTTTCATCTGTGTTATCACACTTGGCTCCCTGTCACTTAGGAAGCAGCTGGCTCTCACTGTTCCCCAACACCATTGGCCAGCTCTAAGTGTTTTCAGTGTAAAATAACAGAGCCTATGTCCGCACTGTGAACTGCCCCAAAGCCTAATTCCCCAAGTGGGTAATAAGAATGGCTGTGGTTTCCCTCTGGCCTGTGCAGTGGTTTCCTGTAGTCATGGCTTTTTTTTGAGCTTCAGATTCAAGAAAAGTCTCTCATACGCTACTTATACACAAAGTATCAATCAGTCAAAATGATTAAAAGGCATCTGTTTCCCGAAGGAAGATGGAAGGTATAAGGAGGTTATATTTACCCTTCATCACTCTCTTTTTCCACTTTCCAGCTATTTCCAAACTGTGGGACACTGGCGAGTGTACCATTGGGCAAGTCCAGATCATCTTCACGTTTATCATTGAAGTTACCACACATGCCATGTATCTGTGAATGAACAATAACCACATTTTAAGCACAATCTGTTCTAGTTCAGCTTCCCCAATAACTTCTTATTCATTGTCTGTGAAATGGTGTGACCAAATCACCACCATCAACCAACCTCGTACCAGACATTTCAGACATTCTCACTAGTGTCTGACTGCACTCATGAAGAAATAAAATAGAAACTGCAGTAAATCTGTTCCCTAAGGCTTCAAGGCGTTTAATGCTATAAGCTGGATGTATTCCCCTAGCCAGTTCATTTTCTTTAACTACCCCCTTGGAACACAAGAAAATTATTGTGAAGAGGAAAAACAGAAAGGAAAAAAATGACTTGTTACAATACAGACACAAAGAAAGATGCAATAGTAAAACACAGTAATGAAATAAATTAAGAGTAAATGCACAAAGCAGCAGTTTTGAAACAATGCCAGATGTTTACATACTAAATCTTACCTTTGAGAAATAAGACTGTGGGAGGGTGATTTCCAGATGGTGGTTGCCATCATATTTCACTATCACTCCAAAGTCAGTTTCCATTACTATAAATCTGCCAACGGTTCCAATGGACAGGCCTCGCAACCGGTTCTCCACTGGAGTGTAGACTCTCTCATTGTTCAGCTGGAGAGACATGTCATTTGTCAGTATGGACATTCTTCCATGAAAGCCTTTCTGCTCACTATATTCCTTGCAGTGCTGAAGATTTCTCTATGATGGTTTTAGCTCTTTTACACTTCCACCTTCCATCATTGCATATTCCAACTATGGGTTGCAGTAATCAGCTTTTTAGCTCAGAGATCTGGGCAGGGCGGTGCCTTTAACAGGGAGCTGGAAAGATCACTCACTGGCAGTGATCAAGCTCTTACCCACCCCTAGGGTGGATTCCCTGCCTCCGGTACTGCCATGGATCCCGATGCTATTCTAGTCCAAGACAGTATGACTTGTTTTCCTCTACTTTTGCTAGCTAGCTGTAGGGGATAGGGTTGACACCAGCTACTAAAGTGGGAAGCTCCATTCTTTAGTTCAGGCAACAATTCTCCAATCTGAAGGCTTTGGGCTCCATCTCCAAGATATGGCCAATAGAACAGTAAACCCAAATCAGAAGCCTTGGAACTAGTGAGAAATGAAATCTCCCCATGATATCCAGTTAATGGAGGTGTCCACAACTGTTGAGCATACACGTACATATTCCTTAGGAAACATGAAGATCCTTTTTCCTACAGATGCTGTAGTGAGCTAATTTTAAGATATTTCTTGCCACAATAAAAAGCACCACCACCTACCAGGATTCCTTGGCTTTTTTGAAGGGTAATTCGTACACCATACACATCTATGTAGACTTCTTTTAGGTAAGTGGCCCCTCTTGGTCCTCTGTCTTCATTCTTGCCAAGGATAGTTATAGGAATGACACTGTTGGTGTTCACAACCTCAACCAAGGTGTAGGTGCAGGTACCCACGAAAGTGTACATCATTCCATCAAAAGTGAAATAATGGGGATCTCCTACCACTTGACATGTTGCTTGGCCTGAGGGTGAAAAAATGATCTAAGCAATTTGGAATGGATTTCACCATGGACTCAGATGACCAAAGATCCTTCCATTAGTGAAGCAACCTAATCCTGATCACCATTATGCAGGCAGACCTTCACAGAGGTATCTCAGGTTCATGCCAATGACATTTATTTGGAAATAAGAAATTTCCAGAAAGCGTCTCCTCAATTTAATTTGCCAATTATGTACAAACTGGCAACTTGACAGCAAATGAACCTCTTTATGCGTTTCTATATCTGTTGTAGCCATGATTTATGGTAGTTGAGAGTAGTACAGCACTTTTCTACTTAGCTATGTAAAAATACATAATTACATGTATAAATATAGGTGTAAACATAAAAGTAAATAAATTTGTGTATATATATACAGATACGTCAAGCACTTGCCATTACCCAGGCTCTCAGAAGTGCAGTTCTTAATTATTCCCAAATTTAGAGCTTGCAGCACTGGTGATGTGGGACTTGAATTTGTATTATGAAGACAAAAAGAACCCAAGTGACCTGGCAAACTTTTTAGGCAGTATCAGTTTTTGCTGATATCCACTACAACAGAAGGGGATCTGTGCTCATAAGACAGCTCATCATGTCTTTTCATGTCTTAGTTCTGGCAGCAACCAGTTGGGACTTCTTTGCCATCACATATGAAATTATATTTATAATAAAGCTAGAAGGAGAGGAAGGATCTAATTATGGAATTGACACTGAGAACCATTTTCAGGCAGAACTTACCATTGGAATGACAGCCCAGCACACCATCCTTAATACTGCATTCCTCTCGAGCACCACACTCCCAGGACGTGCATGCAATGATGTTACCAGCTTTGCAGGTGCAGCGTTCAGTGCAGGGATAACTGGTGAACCAGCTTTCATCCAGCTGAGCAGAAAAAGAGAGTGTAGTAGTAAATACTATAACATAAATTGAAAGGTAATACCATAAGGGACAATCAAATTATTAGTATCTGACTGTGCATGACATATGATCATTTGGGCAACTGTAGCCATGCAGCTCATGGATCAAGAAGACTGGCAAAGTGAGTGTATTTTGGTTATTAATGGTGTAAATAATAATTGTGTCAGTGTTATTTAACATTTTTTTCTCTCATGGTGATAGAGAATGAGATCCACTGTTCTTTCTTTTTTTTTTTTAACGTTTGAGATAACTTGCCTGGTGGTACTGGTTTTTTTCATCAACACAACCACAGCTGCTTTCTGGCACACATTTGTCTCCACTCAAAACATAGCCTTCCTTACAGAAGCAACCTTCCACTGGTAAGGAACTGCAGGAATCAACTGCTGACATGTTCAAACAGGTAGAGGGACACCGAGTACCACAGCTCTTGTAGATGCTGCCTCCAGGACAGGGCATTGCTAGAGAGAAAAAGAAAAAAAATCACTCAAAAGGGCAAAATCATGACAAAGCTTTTCCTGATGCTTTCATTGTTTGCTCCTGAAAATGTACAAAATTGCTGTTAGAAAGTCTGACACTGGAGAGAGCTGCAAACGGGATTTTCTTGCCCCATGAGATGGGTGGCTTTTGGTAGAGGTGGGTATGTCAGGTGGGTCGTCCTGCACTTCACCTCATAAAGGAAGTCAAACATTGCATGTTCGCTTTGAGGGTAGGTCTGATGTGATCATGCAGGACTAATTGTGTCTGGTTCAGTAAACCTTTTTCTGCAGGTTTAAAGACAGAAAATCACTCCATTAAGGGAATAGAAGACTCTCTTCATATACCAGCTGATATGGCCCCATTACTGTAGTTACTACTTGAACACCTGCCATATATCTAAAAATAGAACTAAAAATCAGACGCTGCCTTTCACTGAGAGCCCTTAAGGAAAATATATTATGCTGTCACACCCCTCCTGCTCATGGTAGAACTGGGCTTCTATGACTCAAAGCATTCTCCCAAGGGAAGATACTATATTTTTCAGAAATACTGAAGCTTTTGTTCATTTCTGTCATCTAAACCCCCCCTAAAACCTGTTCCTGGCTAAACTGTGTGATAAATCACTACATATGACTGTCATTTACTTCTGCCCCCTACAGCAGGATCTCTTAGTCCTATCAGGCAATTACAGCCAACACCTCCAGTCACCTAGCGAGAGTACCTGCCCTTTGTCAGGTTCTTAATTTGAATTATTGGTGGAGGGAGCACTTGAGAACCAATTGTCTTAATGTGACTGAGTCTTCTCTATCACTATAAACAAGCCACAGATATTTAGGTCCTGGGCTCTGGCCTCAGACTATGGAGTCTGGATGTCTGTAGTTTTAATATGATTTGGAGTGTCAGAAGCTCTTTTCTTGCTCTGTCTTCCTTTTACATATGAGTTCTCAGTGTTCTGTCCTCTAAGGGCTGACTTACTGTGTGCTTTATAGACATTCTAAAGTCACAGTAATTCCTTTTCCAAACTGACCAGTTCGCAGAAGCTCTCAATGGTTTTTTTTAATGGTTTAATTTCAATGCTAATTGTTGATTGCAGGAAAAAAAAAAAAGGTGCAAATCTGCAGAAGATAATACGGTGGTAACTGAATATGATCAAAAAGAGGGTAAAGGACAAAAAACATAAAGAAGAATCATGGCTTATTTCAGTGTGGTTGACCTTCAGAGGACTTCCTTTTTTCTCTCCATGTGTGTGTTTGTGGATATCAAGATCCTTTAGAAGATGTCTGACAAGCAGAAAACTGCCCAGTGCTGCTTAAAACTGGCACCAATGGAACCCCTGGAAAGCTTTCTTCTAAAAACCTGAGCTTATTATATGAAATTTCCCATAAGGTCATTCTAAAGAGAATTAATCGGGATGTAAGTGAGAATACTTGATTTCTTTTCTTTATAGAGAAATACTTCTAAACTTCCTAGAAACAGCTGTTTCTCAAGGTGTCTTATTAAACTAGTTTTTAAACCAAAAGCCATCGATAAGCATTTGTGTATGGAGGACTACCAGCTCTGCTTTTGTTGAGGATGCTAGATTTTCAGTGGAGCAAAGCAAGTTATTTCCCCAGTACAGAAGCTCATATAAGATACAGTTGAATGTAACCAAACTTTTCCAAGAAACTAAAAGAAAATTGTTAAAACATTAAGGGTTAGACCTGCATGTATCCAAATGCTCCTGAAAGTTAGTGTTTTGTACAAGTACTGAAAATGAAGCGGGCTCAAGATGTGACAAAAAATAGACTATACGTAAAATGAAATAACATGCATGGAAAAGGTAGAGGACAATGTGCACACTTTTGAAATTTAAATCCAGAACAGATATTTATAAGTCACAACACTCACGGCAAAGAGCAGCATTCCTCCACTCTATGCATATCCCAGCATTGGTACAGGACTCGGCATAGGCCTGCAGTCCATAGCATAAGGATGTTGCCTGTCCACCGGTGGAACACATGTCGTAAACACAGTTTTCAAAGAAATTCTCTGGAGGCACTTTGATATGACAATCCTTGAAGATTCCTGTGTCAATCAAGAAAGATATATAGAAGGATAGGAAAAAAAAAAAAAAAAGGAATGATAAGATCACCACCACCATCTGTTTTCTGTTATGACAAATGTATTGTGAGTGCATCATGTAAATTAAACCAACACTTGAAACGGGCATGACTGATACAACTTAGCTTAAATAAATTAAGAGTTGCTGAGGAAAGCCATTAATTCTAGACAACTGCAGGGGCTATCCAATGCAGGGAACATGTACAGAATTTCAGATAGAGTACCTGGAATACATGTAATGACAGTGCCCTTGGAGTTAATTCTTTTTGCAAGCAGAGTGCAAGTCACTATAAAGCAAAGAGCAGCTATGGCTCCCTGCACACATTCTCAGATAATCTCCATGGACACAGTGGCACTGTCAATGGTTGACATACCTTGACCATGCATCTATAAGTTTTATGTTGGCCATTCACACTGGAGGTTTTATATGCTTCCAATGTGAGCTCAAAACAATGGACTATGGAGAGGAGACAACACAAGTTATGATGTGCACCATCACATGGCTCACAGACAACTACCAGCATACTACCTGTTGGGTCTGTGATCATGCCACATGTTGTATTCTTCTTTGCTTCACTCTCCAGCACAGGATCACATTGCTCTTCTGTCCCACTGGAACATCTGGGGAAAGCAAGCAAAATCAAATGTGTGTTTCACATCTCTTACTATGAGGTTTTCAGTGGAAGACTGATGCATGACAACCCTGCACAACAGAGTGTATTTTATTACAGTCACAAGACTTTATCCAGCTGCTTTGAAAAGCTGATGTCAACCCTGTCACTGAATGGACTCTCTTTTTGATGCCTTCTCGGATATCTGTGATATTCAAAGGTTTATTCTTAGCTGAAAAAAGAGTTATGGGTTCTAGTCATGGTTTCCAACCAGGGAACTGGACTGAAGTCCCCCTCACACTCAGCAGACAGTTCCTGCTTTGGAAAACAAGACTTTAAGGAGACAAACTCTCTTCTCATTCCCTGATAATTGTAAAGGGAAAGATCCCTACCTTCTAATGGGCAGTTGGAACATGTGAAATGGTACTGGATGACAAAGCCAGTGGGTGAATTTTTGAATTTATAGAGTTTTATTAGCAAATGGCGTGCAATTAAATTAATATACATACGTGGTGTTAATTTCAGGCACAAGCCAGCTTTGTCCAAGATCAGTGGAACCACTTGCAGTGTCACCATTGGGCTTTATGTTGTCATCATTTGGATCACCATTATAGTTACCTGTGAGAGTAAAAAGAGATTTGTGGGACACATGAAGTTCACACCTGTAGAACAAACCTAGGGTTTAGGCTGCAAAATGAACTGCAATGAACTAGGGAGAGTATATATGCAACACCAATGTCTACTGGGCAAAATAGGGAGAACTCAGTTGTGGCTTAGACTTTGACCACTGACAAGAGCGGCCATTCAGAGACTTGTGGACTTGAAGCAAGAAGTCTGTAAGTTCTTATGTAACTAGATCACAATGCATATAAGAAACAATTGCTTAGCTTATAAAAAACAACTCCTTTACTTGGATCACACCCGTAGAATGTTGGACTGAAAATAAAATGGTGTTATTTTCACCATTATATTCCTGGGTAGATTTCCTGAACTGAAAGGGTGAAAAACCCATGGAGAGATAGTTGAACTAAGAAATTTCAGGTTGTCCAAATTAAAGAATAATCAGAAACTCACAAGGCCAGCTACTCTTGTAAATTCTACAGTCCCATTTCCATCCTGAAGCACATTTCATATAACTTAGTTGTTCCAACTAAACCTGCTCAGTTTCAGGCATTAGCAACATGGCTGATGAAACATTATTAGTCACTACTAATTCCAGCAAGCTCCTACTTTCATGAGTGAGATAAGACATCTGTAACTCTTATTTACTTCGCTTTCCTATTGCAACAGAGTTTCTTACAGAACATAGTAGAATGTGCCCTTTGTGTCTGATGTTCCTCACAGGGCTCTAAAAGGCCTTTATGTTTTGTATCATATATAGCATTTAATATTATGTGGTATTGGAATTTTGTAAATAAAGTATGAATTTTCTTTCTTCATAATATCTGTCAGCTCAGGATTATCCATATTGGATCCTTGTCATTGTTTTGTTTTAATGCAGACATTGCCTCTCTTAGCTGGAATAAAAAGTAGGTAAAAATAAGCTTTAGTAGCCTAATTTTTCTTTTTCCTTTTATCTTTTTCTTTCCCCCCTCCTTTGATCATATATACATGATCATCCTGGTTGTATAAATATGTCCTAAAACAGCAGCAGGAAAGCTTGAGAAGGTTGACAGTAAGCTATTCTGAAGATTGCTCTCTGCTGTGGAAACAGCCTCAGGTTTTTATCATTTACAAAATGAAATGGTATAGCATTCCTTACACCCAGTAAAAGACAAATATGTCAGAATATGAATAACAGAAAAATGTGTTTGTAGAATTCTTGAGTAGATGCATGTAAATCATTATTCTTCCTAAATTTAAACTGTAGAACTGAAGTGAGAATTTTTTTATTTGGCAAAAAATGTTATTTGTGGTTATACCTCAGAACATTCCAAATGGATGGCATGGTACCAGGAATTTTGAAAGTAACAGTTTTTAGAAACTGAAAAATTCTAGCAAGTATTCTTCACTGCTGTAAATTCTAGTCCATTTGACAAGGACAAGTTGTGTGTAGAGTAAGTATGACATGATAAGAAAATCAGCTTAAGTAATCACCAGCCTCCACAACTCACTAAAAACTGACTAAGCCTATACTTACCACAGAGGCCACAGAGCAGACCACTGTAATTAGAGGGCACAGAGACTTCTGCATAGTGATTTCCATCATATCTCACCCACAGTCCAAAGTCAGTTTCCAAGAGAACATATCCACCACTGCTTTGAATACTGATCTTCTTGTCAATAAATACAGGCAGGTTCATTCTAGTGCCGTTCACCTGTACAGCAAGTTGTAAAAGTCAGTGTATGGCTGCTGAGAGTCCTACAACTACCAGCAATTAGAATGGATTAGTGAAAGATGATCGTGTGCACAAGGGAAAGGGAAGTAATTAAAGAACACTTCATCTAAGCAAAGTTGTTGGACAAGAGGTACATTCCACTAAATAAAAAGAGAAGGTTTGCTATAAAATCTATAGAAAAATTATTTCATTATTTGCATGTCTGTTGAAAAATAATGTATCTGTCTTTAAAACAAGTATTTTCTTACATTCAGCTTCTTATTTTTCAGCAAAGAAATCTGGTTGTCATAGACTTCCACTTGCACGGACTTCACATAAGAGACTTTGGTGTTGGCTCCTCTGTGCTCATTCGTTGTGGACACATGAAAGTATGGAAGCCTCTCAGAGATGTTGCACACTTTGGAGAGAGTGTAAGTGCAATTTCCCATGAAATGATGAACTCTGTGGTCAAAAGTGTTATAATGTGGATCCCCAGAGGCACTGCAGGAAGCACGACCTGGGAAGAAAGACAGAATAATTACCTCTGAATCTCTACCAGAGTTCTACTGTTGCTTTTTTCCCCACTTTGGTTGTTTTACTTTGTAAATGCTGCTCAGATGTAACAGTGATGGTATCAGTCAAGAACATTTCAAAGTCCAACCCAGCCTCTTATCTTTGGCCCCATAAAGAATCTGTACTCCTCTAGATCAGAAATATATGCTAGAGGTTGAGGAAGAAATATAAACACACAACTTTGATATTAAAGTTGTTTATATAGTGATGTCTTTGTTATTAAGACATCACTATATAAAGCAGAGCAGTGAGATTTTAGTGTCCATGTCTGAAAGGCTATTTCTGACTAAGAAGAATTTACACATAAATTTACAGGGTTGGTTGGCCAGAACAGACTGCTGCACTACCAACTCTCTGGGGTTCTCCTCACATCAGTAACAGAACACCTATTGAACACTGTGTACACAAGACATCCTTTACACACTTTTGAAAAACACTGAAGTTATTTAGCCAGTCGGAGTCTTCTTATTAAATCTTAGCAGAGTTGAGGTTGTGGGTGATTTATGGTCTTAGCTCACAACAGCAAAAAATAATGAAAACAGGTCCTTACCTCATATCTGCTTTTCAATACATGTTACAAAATATATCTACAATTATGGTTGTGTCTACATGTGAACATTAACTGCTTATACACAAACTATTAAAACTACACACATAACAATTATGAAAAAAAATCAGAAAACATATGAACAGACCAGGTGAGCTAGCACTCTAGTGCAGTATTACAAGCTGAAACGTGCACAAGACATACTGATTAAAATTGGAAGAAAGAAGCAGTTAGAATTTCTCTAAAATTCCAGTTTAGTGTATTAAATGGTAATAAAAAAAAAAGTAATAACAATGACTCAGACTTTTCCATGACCATGTAATTCCATTATAGCCAAAATAAAAACAAAATCTATAAGCTAAATTACATATCAAAACACCACAAAAAAAAAAAAATTATATGGGGAAAACTTGCCATAGAAAAGTATAATTTAAATATTTATGGACATGGCAATAAAGGGTATGTGAGATAACTACCAGGGAGCTGGTCTACTGTAACCAAAAATTCCAATATTTCCAATATTGTGGAAAAAGAGACCCAGGGCAAAATCTCCATTGTCACTAATCAGGAGTCCCAGCTCCAAATAATTGTCCCAGCAGTGTGACTGGGTGAGCAAAGAAAACCTCTGAACC